TTATAATGGTCCTTTAGCCTGTGTGGTTGCTGTCGCCAAGGTGTGACGCCCCTGGTACACTGCCCTAAAGATCTTCACCCGCGGGTCTGTTGGGCAGAGGTGAGGGTGTGTGGCATCCATGCATAGGAGCATGGGTGCCTGGCTTCTGTGATTCACAGCACCCCCGCCCCACCTCCCTGCAGGTGATCCGCAGGCACACGCTGGAAGAGAAGCTGCTCTGCCTGGTGCGGCACCGGGCGGGCCACCACTGCCAGAATGCCGTGATCGTCATCCTCATCCTGGCCTGGGAGGGCATCCCCCGAAGCCTCGGAGACACCCTCTACCAGGAGCTCACCGATACCCTCCGGAAGTACGGGAACCCCACCAGCCGGAGATGTGGCCTCAACGATGAGTATGTGGACGGTCCCAGTGGGCAGTCCCGGTGGGCAGGGGTGGGGCAGTGGGGTCAGGGCCCTGTGTGTCCTGCAGAGTTAGGACTGTGGTGGAAAGAATGCTTACCTACGGATCTGGCCTGGGGTCTGGCCCTGGCTGGGGAGGGTCTCTTGACTCAGCTTAGCTTTGCTTTCCACCCCAGATTGACTCTGAGGCTCTAATAGTGGTAACAAGTGTGGAAAAGTGTGAGTGGCCCACTAATATAAGGCATCAGTGGTACTCACAAGACCTACCCTTATAGGGTCCCCTCCCCCATTTTAAAAATTAAGATCTTTTTATTTACAGTAAAATTCATCCTTTGAGGTGTACAGTTTGAAGAATTTGACAGATGTTTACAGTCATGTAGCCACTGCCACAATCAAGATATAGAAGAGTTCCATCACCCACCAGACTCCATCGTGTGCCCTTTAATAGCCAGGCGCTTCTCCCCACCCCTGGCAAACACAAATCTTGTTTCCTGTCCCTGTAGGGTTGCCTTTACAAGAATGTCATATGAATGGAACCATACATCATGTAGCCTCCTGAGTCTTGCTTCTTTCCCTGAGCACAGTGTTTCTGAGTTTCATCTATGGATGTGTGTATCAGTAGCTCATTCCTTTTCACCACTGAGCAGTATTCCACTGTGTGGCTGTGTCACGATTTGTTTATTCATTCCCCGGTTGGAGGGCGTTTGGGTTGTTTCTGGATTTTATTAAGTGTTGAATGGTAAAGTCAGTGTTCGTTTGTTTAAAGGCCTGTCAGCACCTGGGCCTGCAAGAAGCAGGCATGTTCAAACTCTGTGGTTCGCATTGTTCCTATTTGTGTGGTCTGTGTTGGAGCTGGCCAAGATATTAAAGTTAAGGCAACGTGTAAACGTTATTGGGTTTTTGATTAGATCCTTCCCAGCCATCTCAAACAACCTGTGTGCTTCTCCCCGCAGCCCACTCAGACTTCAGGCTCAGGGGTGGGAGCCAAACTGGCTGCTCAGAGCTGATTCCCTGCCCACAAGGGTAGAGATTTGGGAAAGGAGTTGAGGTCAGGGAAGGATGTCATGGCCGTCACTGGGAGGCCAGTGGATGCCAGGCCTCAACAGGGCCTTCCCCCCGAGGGAGGGGCAAAATTCCGGGACTGAGAATGTTCCTTGTATGCCTAACATGTGATATATGTTGCAGCCGTACCTGCGCCTGCCAAGGCAAAGACCCGAATACCTGTGGTGCCTCCTTCTCCTTCGGTTGTTCCTGGAGCATGTACTTCAACGGCTGCAAATATGCTCGGAGCAAGACTCCTCGCAAGTTCCGCCTCGCGGGGGACAACCCCAAAGAGGTGAGCACAGCCCCACAGGGAGCATGGGACCCTCCCACTCACCCTGTTCCACCTACTGCCTTTACTAGTCCCGGTGGGACGTAGGATTAGCACACTGTGACTCAGATGTGTAGAAAACGGAACTTCCTTTCTTTTTTTTAAACTGACCTTATCTTGCAGTGAAATAAGGTATGTGGGGTGTAGTGTGGAGGATGCGATGAGTGAAAAATTAGACTTACCAGTTACAGGAACCTCAGACTCTTGCAGTTTAGAAAAGTCTCTTTAAGGTAAATGTTCAGATTCCTCATTAGAACTTGACCCTCTTAAAGGGTTATTTCTCCCCTCCATTCTTCTCAAGACATCTTTCTGGGTGTGAGGTGTGGCACAAAGAGGGGCCACTGGGCCTCAGGCCACCTTCTGGCCGATGCTGGATGTCCCGAGGTGTCCCTCATCCTGCCTGGCTGCTGGGCCCACGTCTCTGTGCACTTGTCCAGTTGTCCAGGTCCTCGGTGTCTCCTTGCTGGGGGCCTGGCACGGTCCTCGGGCACTGGTCTGGCATCCACATGGTATGGCCACTAGGCCTGAGGCCTCCTCCCACCCACCAGAGCTCCTCCCCAACCCAGTGACAGCAGGACAAGGGGCCTCAGGGTTTCCTCTGCAGGCCGAGCTTAGGCTGGGAACCAGAAGTGTCAGGTCAGGTCACCTCCCACTCTGCCACTTCTCTGTTGCCCTGGTTATGAGGGCCATTCCGAGGGGGTCTCCACTTGGAGTCCAGATGCAAAGCAGGCATAGGCCTGAGTGGTCTCTCTGTCATGTCTCCTCCAGCCTCCCTGCTTTCTGCCTCTGCTACTGTGAGAGGGGTACTGGATCCAGGCAATACCTTGATCCCAGCCTCTACCTTCCAAACCTCTCCAAGCTCCTTTTACCAGAAGGGCTTCCCCATTTTCCAGGAGACAAGGACTCTCCTGGGGCACATTTTTTTTACACCACATGTAAATTTCTATGCTCAGACTTCCAAGCTTTGCTTTTCAGAAATAAAAGGAGGCACGTCCAAATTTAGAACCCCTTCTTTCCCCTCAAAGCCCAGCTTTCTGACTATTACATGACCTAGTCTAAGAGTCTGATTTGACACTAGACTTTTACTTATGGCAGCGCCTGGCCTCCCCCAGAAGCAGCAAATGCCGGTGCTTCAATGAATGGAGGAGTCCCAGTGCCACCAGGAACTAGGAATTACCATGAATGAAAATAATTGCTTTAATTTCTCACAAATACTTTCCCTGTTCCATCAGCTACCATTTCCTGTGCACTGACTAAGTGCTGGGTACTCTGCCCAGCACCTCACAGGTGTCTCAGTTAATCTCATGACAGCCTGAGGATCTAGGCCCTGTTACTGCTCCCTTTACACGTGAGGCAAATGGTTTGCCCAGGGCCATGTGACAGTGATGATGAAGTCAGCATTTAAACCCTGGCCTGTGTTTCCCCAGAGCTCACAAGCCTCACCCCCGTGTTGTGCTGGCTTCAGGCCCACTATGCTGGTGGCAGCATCTGGAAGGCAGCCAGGGAGGTGCAGTGAGGCTGGCTGGCAACTCTGGCCGCCCTGCTGGACAGACAGCTGAGCCATTGGTCTCACCCTTCCATTTCTTATTCTGTGAGTTTGGTACCTTTTTTCTTCCCTCTTCCTCTTCTTTCTTCTCCATAAACTCTTCATGCCTGTGCTCAAGGCTGGCTAGGAGCCCCCATAGCCCAACTTGTTACCCTCAGAGAGCCAGAGAGAGGCTGCAGATACCTTAAACTCTCTGCCAGTCTGAGGGCTGCTGCTTTGTCGAGGGCAGCACTATCCAGTGGAACTTTCTGTGATGATGGAAATGTTCTCTGTAGAAAACACAGCCATGGGAGCCACATGTGGCCACTGAGCATTTGAAATGTGGCTAGTGCAGTGGAGGGGCTGAACTTTTTTTAATTTTTAAATTTAAAAAAATTAATTTAAACTTTTTAATTTAAAAAAATTTTTATTTAATTTTACTTAAAATGAATTTATATTTCAATAGCCACACATGGCTTGTGACTAAACACATGAGACGGTGGGGTCTAAAGGACAGAACGTTGCGGTCTGGCCGTGTACCTGGCTGGTGATGGGCGCTGGGCCTGGCTAGCTGTGGGATTTCTAGCACGGGCCTCACCCACCTCTCCCTGCCTTTATTTACCTGTCTGGACCACTGCAAGAAGGACCCACGCCTGCCGCTCGTGCTTGTACATGCCTGCCATCCCGCACCTCTGACCTAGGGTGTTGAGCAAGTGCTTAGCAAGAGCAGGAACCTGTTCTAGGGTGTTCTGAGCAGCACTGGGCTGGAGCCTGGCAGAACAGGTGCTTAGTAGTCAGGGTGACCAGACCCTCAGGCAGTGTCTTTCCTGGTGAGCTTCAGTGTCTCTGGCATTAAAACAGACCTGGCACCCCTCCCAGAGGGAACACCATAAAGATACTTGATGGCACCTTACTTCCTACCTTCCCAGTGGCAACCCGGCAGTGGTTCTAGAATGGAGGTCAGTTTCCAGTGTGCAGAGTTTGCCAGGCAGGGCTGCTCTGGAGGTGTGTGACTGTTCTTCTGTCCATAGGAAGAAGTGCTCCGGAAGAGTTTCCAGGACCTGGCCACTGAAGTTGCTCCCCTGTATAAGCGGCTGGCCCCCCAGGCCTATCAGAACCAGGTACTGGGTCTTGGGCTGTTCTGTGCCCACATGTCACCCACATCTCTGCCCAGGCTCCCTGAAGTGGGGGAACAGCGGAGTGGGTTCCTTACGGGAAAAGCCCAGCCAGAGCTAGAGCAGTGATCTTTGTTAAGGTCTTTGTTAAGACCCCTTGTTTACACCAAGCTAACCACATCCCAGGCTGTCTCTCCTGTATCCTTGGTCTTTGTCTCTCTCCCCTTAATAATCCTCCACCTCCTCTGCTTTGGTTTCTACTGGAGAGTCTTGAGTTTCTCTCACCTGTCACTTCTGCACCCCATAGACGAGGTGAGAGGGCCTTGAGATAACCCAGAAGGAAGTAACCCCTTATAGGGACTTCAGCCAGAAAACCTCCCTCCTACAGCCCAAGTACAAGATGGCTGTAGTCCTTAACCTCCTTCCTCCCTCCTTCCCTCTAAGACCTGGCCTCCCCCATGCCGAATCAGGGCCACTCACCTCAGGTCACTCGAGCAGCTGTCCTTGGCCATCCACACAGGTGACCAATGAGGAAATAGCGATTGACTGCCGCCTGGGGCTGAAGGAAGGGCGGCCCTTCTCAGGGGTCACGGCCTGCATGGACTTCTGTGCCCACGCCCACAAGGACCAGCATAACCTCTACAACGGGTGCACGGTGGTAAGGAACCCTGTGACCTGTCACAGCCCCACCTGAGAGACGATCCTGGGAGGGCGCACACCTGTTCTCTGCAGATAGGTGGGCTCAAGGCAGGGAGGGACCCCGCCAGACTACCTGCTCCTGCCCACTTCTCTGGGAAATGCAGGGGCAAGGCTGGCTTGGGTGCTGCAGAATGCAGCCTCTTGGGCACCCAGTGTCTCCCAGTTCTCTAAAGTGTGGCTCCAGGTCTCTCTGAGCACTAGGATTTAAGTCCAAACCACCTTTTGATTCATTCATTGAGCAAATGTTTATTGTGCCTCAGGTACTGCTCTAGATGCCGGGGAATAAACTGGACAGAGTGCTGCCTAAAAATGTGATATAATGTCCAGTAGCAAGGAAGGCTGTAAGGAGAAGATGAAGTAGGGTAAGGGATGAAATGACAGCAGATGCTGTTTTAGATGACATGGAGAGAGGCCTGTATGAGGAGGGCCACCTGAGCAGAGACGCGGAAGTGAGGGACTGAATGTGTGAGGCTGGGGTGCTCCAGGCAGAAGGACCAGCACAGGCAAAGGCTCAGAGGAGTGAGATTAGAGGGACAGGCAGGGGTGAGGTCACAGGGAGCATGGGAGGCTGGGAGGGCTCTGGGTTGTGCTCTAAGTGTGATGGGAAGCCCTAAGATCTCATTTATAAAGTCAGAAGCACTCTCTTGCTCCTGCAGATGGAGAATAAAATATGTTGGGGTAGGGGTGGGTGGGGGAGAATCAGAGCAAGCAAGCCAGGTAAGAGGCTGGGACACTTGTCCAGGCCAGAGGTGACAGGGCTTGGGCAGGAGTGAGGGTGGGGTGTGGGGAGTAATTGGACAGGTTGTGGGTTGATTTTGAAGGTGTAGCTGAGAGTAATTGCTGATGGGGTGGACCTAGGATGTGTGAGTTGCTTGAGCAACTAGGCAAGTGTTGGTGTTTACTGAGATGTAGAATATCAGGAGAGGCCAGTTTTGGGGTGAAAATCAATAATTCTATTTTGAGATGGACTGCTAGATGGTGGAGATGTAGAGTAGGCAGGGGAGAGGTGGAGATGTAGAGTAGGCAGGGGAGAGGGAGGGTCTGGAGCAATGAATTTGAGACTGGAGAGCCCTGAGTTCATAGCTAGTGGAGAGCACTGAGTTCATAGTTAGGGCCATGAGCCTGGATGCAGGCCCCAGAAGAGTGAGTGCAGATGGAAAAGAGAGGAGGTTTGGGCTTGGGTGGGGGCACCCTGGAAGGGGTAATGTGGCTGTCTTCTCTGCTTTTTAACTAGGTCCTAGGAGACAGGACTTCCAGGGGGGCTGTGGAAGAGGCAAGGGCACGGGCACGTTCAACTGAAAGGGGGCTCCCAGAGTCGGTATAGCTTGTGTCCCCAAGGGGATGAATGGCCCAACCCTAGGATTTCATTTCTCCACCTTGTCCTCCTTCCCCATGTCCAAGACTGAGAAGCAAGATGGGGCAGGCTTCTGTCTACACTGTATTGTGAGGGTTTCTAGCTAAAATACAGAGAAAGAAGGATGGGCCCTCCAGGATTAGGAGAGGGGCAGGGAAGGAGGATGGGGCACCAAGAGATAGGAGCACAGTGAGGTTATTTGGATCCCAGAGCTTCTGGAGTTTGGAGTGAAAAATAAGTTTTTTCCAAAAATGAATAATATTTTTTGTTCTAATTAAACAATTATTTATTGTAAAAAATAATTTTAATAATACGAGAAAGTATAAAGTAAAAATGCCTGTAATCTCATAGGTAACCTGTGTTAGCATCGTGATGACCATCCATTCAGACACCTGAATGTATGTGTGTGTGCACAGTTGTATACATTTTACACATTATGTGTATGTGCTGTTCCATGATCTTGCTTTTCTTAACTCAAGAATATGTGGTGGACAACTTGCTGGTCAGTGGGTATAGGCAGCATGTTCTAAGGCTGTGTGTGTGGCTGTGCCACCACTTACTGACCAGTCTCCTATGGATGGCAGTCAGTCCTTTCGTACTCCTCTCTAAACCACAGGGAGGGCGTCCTCAGCACAGCTTTGTGCAGTGGCCCCAGAATAAGGACACTTACAGCCTTGGAGTGCTCATTTGGCAGCTTACTGGGCAGCAGTAGGGTTTGTCAGGAGGCAGAGAGGGGAGAGAATAGCCCAGAGCTTTACTGGGGATTTCGTAGAAAGGAATGGGCAAGGTAGGATAAGTAAGCTGAATAAGTTGAGGATGGATAGTTTGGATAATTTCTGCAGGCTCTGGGCTATAGAGGTGGTCCCTAGTTGTCAATACCTAGCCCTGGGGTGATTTAAGGCAGAGAGAATATTTGCTTGGTGTGTGAGAGTTTTATAAAGGAGATGGTTGGGGGTGGGAACTCTGGGTTGGTTGGTTTGTGTATCAAAGTTGCACCGGCAGGGGATCATTTGCTGTCTATAGGAATTAGCTAGTCTTAGGGGAGGGACAGTCCCTCCAGGATCAAGGCCCCAAATGCCAAGAACATCAGGAATACAGAAAATAAAATATAGTCAATATAAGAGTAAAACATAAACGAGAAAAAAATCAATCAAACCTTATTAATAATCAGAGAAGCACATACCAACGACGAGATACATTTTGATAACAGGCAAAAGTTTTAAAGAAATTAATAGCAAAAGTATCAGCAAAAGTATAGGAAAATTGAAACTCATTCTGCCAGGGTAAGTGAAACACTGATGATAATCATTTTGGAGCGCAGTTTGGCGATATGTGGCAGTTCTGCCTTACGGCTTTTATTCTAAGGAATTAAGTATCTTAGAAAATTCAGTGAAAAGGATAAAAGTATTATTTATGATAGGGAAACAGGTTTAAATGGTCATGAGGGATTAGTTAAATTAACACATTGATACAGTGGAATAATATTGTGTGGCTCTTAAATCATATTGGGGAAGCATATTTAACATGTAAGAAAATATACTGTGTTAAGAAAAAAAAGTTATTCTAAAACTGTATGCATAATATAAATGATCCTATTTAATTATTAAAAAGTGGGTGTGTTCTTAATAGCATTAAATAAATAACATTAAAGTCTAAAAAAAAAAGTGAGTGTGTATATGACCAAGTATATGCAAGGGTTATTTCTAGTTGGTGGGATTATGGAGATAATTTTTATGTCCTTTGTGCTGGCCTAAATTTTCTACAACCAGCACATATAATTTTCAATTTTAAGGGCAAAAGGAGGCTGAGTGTTGAAGGCAAGGAGGATAATGGTGGAAGGTCCGAGGTCTGTGTGATGACATGTAATGGCAGTGATGGCAGTGGAGGGCAGAGCACATCTCCCAGTCGTGACCTGGCCCCATTCTGGCCGTGTGACCCTGAGCCGGTCATCTTATCCCCCCAGAGCCTTGTTAGACAAAGTGAATGGATGTGCTTTGAAAACTGTCGAGCAGACTCTAAAACGCTGGTGATACCGTTACTCTATAAAGCAGGACAAATGCGCTTTTTAGATGCTCTGGAAAGTAATAGTGGATAGCTGGGGCTGGGACAGTGTGGGGAAGGGGCAGCCCCTCCCGCTCAGTGTCTGGCTGCCCCAAGCCCATGCACCCTCCCCATCTCTGTGTTTGGGGCAGGTCTGCACCCTGACCAAGGAAGACAATCGCTGTGTGGGCAAGATTCCCGAGGATGAGCAGCTGCACGTACTCCCCTTGTACAAGATGGCCAACACGGATGAGTTTGGCAGTGAGGAGAACCAGAACGCCAAGGTGGGCAGCGGGGCCATCCAGGTGCTCACCGCCTTCCCCCGCGAGGTCCGGCGCCTGCCGGAGCCTGCCAAGTCCTGCCGCCAGCGGCAGCTGGAAGCCAGGAAGGCGGCAGCCGAGAAAAAGAAGGTTCAGAAGGAGAAGCTGAGCACTCCTGAGAAGATCAAGCAGGAGGCCCTGGAGCTGGCTGGCATCCCCACTGACCCAGGTGTGTGGGGAGAGGGTGCCCGGCGGGGGTGGCACGGGCACTGTTGGGTGGGGGCCCCTGGACGGCTCCCTTACCACCACTCTTCCTGCCTTGAGGTAGAATTCCATACAGAAAAGTACTGGGGTCTCTCAGCCACCTGGACCATCAATTATCTTAATTTTGTCAGTCAGCGCCATAGCTGCAGCAGCCCCGGGAAACCAGGCCAGATGGGAGGCACCTGGGAGCCAAATGAAGGAGGTCTCCCTGTCTTCCCAGAGGGCAGCTGGGCGTCCCCCCGGCTCACCAGCTCTCCTCGCTGCGGAAAGTACCGAGGCGGCAGGCGTGTGGTCTGCAGCAGGGTTTTCGGGTGTGGGGCGGCCCTCGTCCCTGCAGTGGCTGGCACGAGGGGGCTTCGGTGAGGCCGGGTGGAGTTCGCTAGAGTCGGGAAGAATGACAACACCAGAGCCCTGGGCTCTGCCGGCTGCTCTTCTGGGGCTTCCATGGGGCCGGGCCACACTGCGCTGCACTGGGAGCAAGTCCAGCCTCACTCGTCTCGCCTGCCCAGCAGAGGAAACCTTGGCAAGAGGGAGCATCCGTCTCTGTGCTTCTCTGTGCTTCTTCTCTGTCTTGCCTCCTGTCTTCCTCAGGCCTGTCTCTGAAGGGTGGATTGTCCCGGCAAAGCCTGAAGCCCTCCCTCAAGGTGGAGCCACAGAACCATTTCAGCTCCTTCAAGTACAGCGGCAACACGGTGGTAGAGAGCTACTCGGTGCTGGGCAGCTGCCGGCCCTCCGACCCGTACAGCGTGAACAGCGTGTACTCCTACCACTCCTACTATGCACAGCCCGGCCTGGCCTCCGTCAACGGCTTCCACTCCAAGTACGCGCTTCCATCATTTGGCTACTATGGCTTTCCATCCAGTAACCCCGTCTTCCCCTCTCAGTTCCTGGGTCCTGGCACCTGGGGGCACAGTGGCAGCAGCGGCAGTTTTGAGAAGAAGCCAGACCTCCACGCTCTGCACAACAGCCTGAGCCCAGCCTACGGTGGTGCTGAGTTTGCCGAGCTGCCTGGCCAGGCTGTTCCCACAGACACCCACCACCCTGCTCCACACCACCAGCAGCCTGCTTACCCAGGCCCCAAGGAGTATCTGCTTCCAAAGGCCCCCCAGATCCACCCAGTGTCCAGGGACCCCTCTCCCTTTGTACAGAGCTCCAGTTGCTACAACAGATCCATCAAGCAAGAGCCAGTAGATCCACTGGTCCACGCCGAATCTGTACCCAGAGAGCCTGGCAAGATGGGCAAAATGCCTTTGCCCGAGGCATCTCAGAATGGGGGACCCAATCACCTATGGGGACAGTACTCAGGAGGCCCAAGCGTATCCCCCAAGAGGACTAACAGTGTGGGTGGCAGCTGGGGTGTGTTCCCTCCTGCGGAGAGCCCTGCTGTTGTCCCCGATAAGCTCGGTTCTTTTGGGGCTGGCTGCCTGACCCCTTCCCACTTCCCAGATGGACAGCATCAGTGGGGGTTATTCCCTGGCGAGGGACAGCAGCCAGCCCCGCAGCCCGGAGGACGGCTGCGGGGCAAGCCGTGGAGCCACTGCAAGTTTGGGAACAGCACCTCGGCCTTGGCTGGGCCCAGCCTAACTGAGAAGCCGTGGGCGGTAGGAGCCGGGGATTTCAACTCTGCCCTGAAAGGTGGTCCCAGATTCCAAGACAAGCTGTGGAGCCCCCTGAAAGGGGAGGAGGGAAGGATTCCAACCCCGGGGGTGAGCCAGCTGGACAAAGCCTGGCAGTCCTTTGGCATGCCCCTGGGCCCCACTGAGAAGCTATTTGGGGCCCTGAAGACCGAGGAGAAGCTGTGGGATCCCTTCAGCCTGGAGGAGGGGACGGCGGAGGAGCCCCCCCGCAAGGGCACAGTCAAGGAGGAGAAGGGCGGCGGAGGCGGCGGCGGCGCTGGTGGGGCAGAGGAGGCGGAGGAGGAGCTGTGGTCCGACAGTGAACACAACTTCCTGGACGAGAATATCGGCGGCGTGGCCGTGGCCCCCGCTCACGGCTCCATCCTCATCGAGTGTGCCCGGCGGGAGCTGCACGCCACCACACCCCTCAAGAAACCCAACCGCTGCCACCCCACCCGCATTTCGCTGGTCTTCTACCAGCACAAGAACCTCAACCAGCCCAATCACGGGCTGGCCCTCTGGGAGGCCAAGATGAAGCAGCTGGCCGAGAGGGCACGGGCAAGACAGGAGGAGGCCGCCCGGCTGGGCCTGGGCCAGCAGGAGGCCAAGCTGTATGGGAAGAAGCGCAAGTGGGGGGGCGCCGTGGTCCCCGAGCCCCAGCATAAGGAAAAGAAGGGGCTTGTCCCCACCCGGCAGGCGCTGGCCGTGCCCACGGACTCAGCAGTCACCGTGTCCTCGTACGCCTACACGAAGGTCACGGGCCCCTACAGCCGCTGGATCTAGGTGCCAGGGTGCCAGGGAGCCAGCGTACCTCAGCGTCGGGCCAGGCCCGAGCTGCCTCTGTGGTGCTTTCGCCCTGCTGTTCCCACAGACACCCACCACCCTGCTCCACACCACCAGCAGCCTGCTTACCCAGGCCCCAAGGAGTATCTGCTTCCAAAGGCCCCCCAGATCCACCCAGTGTCCAGGGACCCCTCTCCCTTTGTACAGAGCTCCAGTTGCTACAACAGATCCATCAAGCAAGAGCCAGTAGATCCACTGGTCCACGCCGAATCTGTACCCAGAGAGCCTGGCAAGATGGGCAAAATGCCTTTGCCCGAGGCATCTCAGAATGGGGGACCCAATCACCTATGGGGACAGTACTCAGGAGGCCCAAGCGTATCCCCCAAGAGGACTAACAGTGTGGGTGGCAGCTGGGGTGTGTTCCCTCCTGCGGAGAGCCCTGCTGTTGTCCCCGATAAGCTCGGTTCTTTTGGGGCTGGCTGCCTGACCCCTTCCCACTTCCCAGATGGACAGCATCAGTGGGGGTTATTCCCTGGCGAGGGACAGCAGCCAGCCCCGCAGCCCGGAGGACGGCTGCGGGGCAAGCCGTGGAGCCACTGCAAGTTTGGGAACAGCACCTCGGCCTTGGCTGGGCCCAGCCTAACTGAGAAGCCGTGGGCGGTAGGAGCCGGGGATTTCAACTCTGCCCTGAAAGGTGGTCCCAGATTCCAAGACAAGCTGTGGAGCCCCCTGAAAGGGGAGGAGGGAAGGATTCCAACCCCGGGGGTGAGCCAGCTGGACAAAGCCTGGCAGTCCTTTGGCATGCCCCTGGGCCCCACTGAGAAGCTATTTGGGGCCCTGAAGACCGAGGAGAAGCTGTGGGATCCCTTCAGCCTGGAGGAGGGGACGGCGGAGGAGCCCCCCCGCAAGGGCACAGTCAAGGAGGAGAAGGGCGGCGGAGGCGGCGGCGGCGCTGGTGGGGCAGAGGAGGCGGAGGAGGAGCTGTGGTCCGACAGTGAACACAACTTCCTGGACGAGAATATCGGCGGCGTGGCCGTGGCCCCCGCTCACGGCTCCATCCTCATCGAGTGTGCCCGGCGGGAGCTGCACGCCACCACACCCCTCAAGAAACCCAACCGCTGCCACCCCACCCGCATTTCGCTGGTCTTCTACCAGCACAAGAACCTCAACCAGCCCAATCACGGGCTGGCCCTCTGGGAGGCCAAGATGAAGCAGCTGGCCGAGAGGGCACGGGCAAGACAGGAGGAGGCCGCCCGGCTGGGCCTGGGCCAGCAGGAGGCCAAGCTGTATGGGAAGAAGCGCAAGTGGGGGGGCGCCGTGGTCCCCGAGCCCCAGCATAAGGAAAAGAAGGGGCTTGTCCCCACCCGGCAGGCGCTGGCCGTGCCCACGGACTCAGCAGTCACCGTGTCCTCGTACGCCTACACGAAGGTCACGGGCCCCTACAGCCGCTGGATCTAGGTGCCAGGGTGCCAGGGAGCCAGCGTACCTCAGCGTCGGGCCAGGCCCGAGCTGCCTCTGTGGTGCTTTCGCCCTCACACCTGGGGGCGGGTTGGGGGTGCAGAAGTCTTTTTATCTATATATACATATATAGATACGCATATATATGTATTTATGGTCCAAACCTCAGAACTGACCCGCCCCTCCCTTCCCCCCAGCCCCCCAGCACTTTGAAGAAGAAACTACGGCTGTCGGGTGATTTTTTCGTGATCTTAATATTTATATCTCCACGTTGGTTTGTTTCCTCCCTTGTTTGGGGGGACCTTTTATTTTCTCTTGTTTTTAAAACTCTATCCTTGTATATCACAATAATGGAAAGAAAGTTTATAGTGTCCTTTCACAAAGGAGTAGTTTTAAATTCCATTTAAAATGTGTATTTATTGGATTTTTTTAAAAGTGACAATTGTAATGGTAAAGGATCGGCAGGAAAGGCCAGAAGCACTCATTCCTGCCCAGTTGTGCTGGGCCTGGTGAGCCTGGCCCTCTTGGGAGCTGACAAGGTTCTCTCAGCCATCGGCCCCTTATGAGCCAAGTGCAGGTTGTAGCCACCCACTGCATCCCTCCTGACAGACATGCCTTCCCTTCAGGGGAGGGAGCCCTCAGGACAGCTTCTGTCCTCTCCGGTAGGATGGGAGAATCTGTAGAAAAACAGCTGGGGTCCCTTTTCCAGTCACCGGCCTGGAGTCGGGGATGGGGGCAGGTGCACCCCAGGCCAGGCACCTGAGATGCTGGCACAGATTTTCCCAGAAACCAGGTTGGAAGTAGACAGCTTCAAGCTTGCTAGTCTCCACACTGAATCCTCTCTGTCCCTTAGCTATCAAGTCACGTGATACCGTGGTCCCCTCGGCAGCACCTCGGGATGGAGCTGGAATCGAGAGGTTCTCAGGAGCCTTTTCCACCGAGCTGACTAGCCAACGAATACTGGCTGAAGGAATTTGTCTTAGTGGCAGTTTTTTGTTTTAAAAAATGCCCCAAAGTCTGTGCTGATACCGAAAAGGGCTACTGTATCTTTAAAAACAGGAAGTTGAACCCAAGCTGTGAAAAGCCAGCGGTGCTTGTAGTGTTGTGCTGGGACTTCCTTGACTCGGGCAGGCTGTGTCTGCAGGAGCTCCGCACAGCAGTGTGACATCAGTAACGCATCTCCTTATCCCTGGATTTCACATTGGACAATGGTGCATGCCTCATACCTGAGCCCACCCCCTCCATGCTATCATCTGGGGAGTGGGCCTACACTTAATGATTTTAAAATGCAAGAGTCAAACATTTTCAGCAGGTAGCTATGATTTTCCTCCCTAATTGGTGCCATTTCTCTATTTGGTCATTTTCTCCTTTCCTTCCTCCCCTCTCCACCCACTTGAACATGCCCGTTCTAAAATTCTGGTGCATTCATTCAGTTCTTTGAAATGAGAATGTGGTGCTTAATTTTTTCAACATTGTTGAGAGAGGTTGGGCCTGACAGGCGGAAGCAACATGCGTTGACAGCAAGTCAGACTTCTTGGAGTGTCTGTTTTTCCTGTGGTATTAGCAGAAATTATATCCAGCTACCCATGTGGATGTGTGTGGTGAGTGGGAGGCTTCATAAGGACACAGAGGGGAATGTGGCCCCACAGTGAATGACAGCCAAGCCCTGAGATAAACATCAGATATTTATTGAGCAGTTTTATCAGATGTGGGTCTTCATAAAATGAGTTTAACAATCAGATGATGATGCTAAAGGCAAGTTCCTGAGCTTCCAGGTGCCTTGTGTAAGAGCTGAGAATTGCCCCGCTGGGTGTTTACTGTAACTGTTCCAGAAGCACTGGCGGAGAGTCGCTGTGAGATGTCCTGAGCATTTATGTGGTCTGGTTTTAACTGTAAATAGTGAAAAAAAAAATTTTTTTAAGCACTTTTGCCTAGATTTAAACAGCAACTTGAAAAAAAGTATGTTTTAACATGTAATTGTGGGAGAAATTGTAAATAGTAGCTGAATATTTAACGTGCTTTGTCTATCCTTCACTTTTACCATATTCTGTAAAGTTGCATTTATTTTACAGGACAAAAATGAAATATTATTGCTTTTGAAATAAATACCCAAGAGCTTATCAGGATTTCGAATTATTCAGAACTCAGATTTATAGGAAAACCTCTGACCTTCAGTTTGACAAGCTAAAGGAAGCAGAGTCTTTAATGAGCATGCTGATTTTCTAGTTTTGAGGAAAAGTTGGGTCCTTTAAATGCTATTTTGCTTATCGCATCAGTACTTTTATGCAGGTCTCATTTGACTCCGTGCTTAGGTAGATGCGGGGGTGCCTTGAAAACTTCATTTTAAATTATCTTAAGCAAGAAATAACAATATTTTACAAAACATTTGGAGAATGTGACCGTCTGTATGACCCGGGAAAGCCCCAGGTTGGCTGTTGGTTTGGAAGGTCCTGAGTGTAACCCAGGTGATTCTGATGCTTGGCATGTATGAATCTCCTTGATGTGTGTTAAATAGACTCTTCCCCTCATCCCCCTTTGGTAGCAAAGCCATTAGATGAAAGAAGAAACCAATACAAGCTAAAAGCATGTGATGTCTGTCCCCCCAGCCCAAACAGCCTTCGGTTCATAAATTCTAGATCAGCAAATAGGCTGCTGAGAAGTGAGTCAAGAGGCAGTCTCCATTGGACGTCCCCATGCCCTTCAGAACGGTGTTTCAGAAATTAGGTGGTGCTGTTGCCATGCTCAAGCCCATGCTGATTTTTACACACTACATGTATAACCTACCTCAAATCTCAGTCATTAAATTAGCATGCTTTAGACGTATGTTTAAAAAGTAACTATGCACAGCTCTTTATCGCCCCCCCCTTGCTGCTGAAGGTTTCTTAAAGAGAAAAATCAAATTTTTATTTTTTACTGGCACTATCATTTTTTAAGTCCTAAAGATGATTAACAGACATTTTTATCATGAGAAGAAAAATAAAGCCATTGCAACTAAAGAACCTAACAACATGATCAAGTTTTAATAATAGTATAGCAGCGGAAATGATGGAGTCTTAAGAGTCATCCCCCAGTGTGCCCTGTCCACAGACGCCATCCACATGCAGTGCAGACATTTGGTTCTTCTTTTGTTTTGTTTTCCCTGCCTTTTGCTTGCAAGGAAAGTACTTGCAAAGTTTTGTGCTAAGAGGTTTTTAAAATAAAAATCGCTTTGCGGCAGGTTCTCGCAAAATAACTGGTGCTAGCTCAAGAAACCGTTATCTAACCATCAGAAATCTTGAGTAAGGTGTTTCATGGATTTTGAGGTTTCTTGTTTTTGTTGTTGTTTGGTGTGTTTTTTGGCAGGGCCTAGGTTTCCCACACTCTGGCTTCGTGGGTACTGCTTTGCTGTCTCACTGAGATGACAGGTATGCATGGAAAGAGATCATACCCACCCCTCTTGGTCCTTTCACCAGCCTCTTTTGGAAACAGTAGTTTGCAGAACAAGGGACTTTTAAAGTGCTAAAGTAAGGAAAGAAAGAGCAGATCTTAATTGCTTTGTACCAGACAGCAGTGGGTGTGCGAGGACGGGTGACAGTAAGTAGATGGTAATCTGATTCCATTGAGAGAACCCGGCCAGGCTTCATGAAGTTAACCACCGCCAGATCTCACACCAAGGCAGTGCTGTGGAAAATTAAAATGATAGCCCTGACGTGCCTCAACCAGTCTCTCTTTCCTTTTGTTACTGAAGTGTGTTTTATGGACTAGGAAGCATTTTTATGAATTGAAATAGTATAAATAAAATGGTGCTATGGTGTTTTAATGTGACTGTCCCTGATCCTGTCCTGCTGAGGTGCTATCAAGGTTCTGAAACCACAACCAACCAAAAACAAGGTGGGCTCCAGTCTCTCTTGGCTTCTCCCCCCCTCCCCCCTTTTGGTGCTGTCTCCTTAGACCTCTGTTTACGTGCTAGAACCTGCTCTGAGCAGTTTTTCTGTTTTGTTTTATTCTTCCCTTGCTGGCCAAATAGAAAAGCAAGTCTCGAAGGCAGCCAGCCCCCTTACTATGACAGGGGAATGGGCCTTCCTGGCTTGGAGGTGGCGGGGTGCTCTCGTTTTCACATCTGTCCTCTTAGGTCTGATAAGAAAGGAGGTGTGAAGGGCTTTTCTTTTTTCTTTTTTTTTTTTGGAGGAAGGGGAGTTGGGTACTCCTGCCTCTTCTAACGTGGCAGGCATTCTCATAGCCAACACACATTTTCCTCCTGCAGTCCAGGGTGCCAAGTACATGTCTCTGAGGGTTCCAAAGGTGCTCTGCATACCAAGGTGGGCCAGATGGGCCTCCTTCCTCACCTAGCACACTGGCCAGGACCATGGTGGGCAGGGGTCTCATTCCTTTGCTCCCCACAGCCTTTGCCCCAGCAACGCTTCTGCTTCTCATTGGGAACCCCTCATGTTCAAACTTAAGGGAAGGAGCTTTCTTTGCTCGCTCAGTGCCACTGAGGCTCTTTTTAGTTGGTGCTATTCTAAATTTCTTCTTGGGTCCACAAAAGTTGATATTTTAAAAACAACAGGAAGCTCCATTTTGTGTCATCCACTGTCACAATAATTTTTTTAAATACCTCAAAAACGGGACATCGTGACAACTTTGGTAAAGTAGATTCCATGAGTGTCTGATATATACAGGTTGTCCATTTGGTGACATACCTGACCTTGAAGAATCTGGGGTCATTTTGTTTTTCATTCTTCAGTTAAAATGGCAGAACGCCTAAAGGAAGGACTGTGGTTGACTTTATTTCATTTCCTTTTTTTGCTTTTGAATAAAATGTGAATTTCCCATGCCCATCTCATTGAGCTTTTTCAGTCGTCGTTGCTGTCATTTGAAATGACTCCCTCAGTTTTATTAGCCAGTTGCATCTGCTGTAGTACATGGCCAACTTCAACATTCCCTGGACCAAAATGAACATTTTTGGGGGTGCATACCCCCAACATAGGTTATACAGTCCCACACCCACATGTGCAAAGAGT